CGTATACCCTAGATTCGTCATTTTATATTCTACTAATGATGCATCGTTTGCTTATCATATCTAATTTCATCTCAGCAGCCATACATCGGCGCTATTTGCAAAATTTACAGTTTTGCACGTGTTCGATGAAATCATTGCGAGACACGTACGTTCACGAAAACGCGCCATTGACTTTTGGTGATTTGATCTGTATCAATGCAGCAGCCGTACATCGGCGCTATTTGCAGTTTTGCACGTGTTCGATGAAATCATCGCGAGACATGTCGCGACATGTTCTTCAAAACAATAACGCTCCATTAAATTATGCGAAATTGCAAATTTTGCAGTTTTGCACGTGTTCGATAAAATCATCGCGAGACACGTCGCGACATGTTCTTCAAAACAATAACGCTCCATTGACTTATGCAAAATTGCAAAATTTGCAGTTTTGCACGTGTTCGATGAAATCATCGCGAGACACGTATGCTCTTGAAAAGTAATCATATTTGATGACCGATGAGGTGATCTTATCACGAATGTTCTTGACAAAGATATCACATTTAACGTATATGTGGATTGTGGTGGCGGTCACCATGCAGCAGCCGTGCATTGGCGCTATTTTTGCAAGATTTGCAGTTTTGGGTATGTATAAATGGTCTACGTGGATTCTAGAGCGCAGTCGAGAGTTCGATACGGTTCGAGTACGTCGCAATAAACAGTCTCCAGATACGATGAACATTCACGGTGCGAACTACTACGTTCCGATTCAGGACGAAACGTTCGAGAAACAGCACAATGAGTAAGTACCTCTAATTTTCATATATACTTGTGCAAAAAAAACTTTTATAAACATATAATTGTATTTTTTCAGTTTTGATAAACCCCGCTACACGCCACGTATTTTGGGAAGGAGATTTTCCTTGACATCAACAGCGTATAAATTTTTGGATGTTGGAATCAACGCGGGACCTATGTCCTTTGTGAATATACTTATTGGCGATAACCGAGGCAATCGGATAATTCTGCTACATGCAACGTGGGTGACATTCATCGAAAACCGTGCAGATATACAGCGCATCGTGCAGTCATCGGCACCATCATCGCTAACGTTTCGAGATCTGGAGCTTGTTAAAATACGTGACGCAGATATTGTAAAATTGACGTCGTGCGGCACCAGCTTGTACATAAAACCGTCAACTGTACTCTTCCTGTTCGAACTAGAACATTGTGTCGAGAATGTGTATTTTCAACTATGTCAAAATGTTCACGGCGTAAGTAAAAAATTCAAACAATTTGTGACAATTTTACGTCAAAATTGTATCACTGATAAATGTAACGCAGTTACAATCTTGCGTGACGTTTATGATAAAAATTCGATTATTGATTGCGAATTATTAGCCTACGCTTTGGATACTATTGTGTATAATGCGCTACATGATAAATAAATGCATATAATATGGTTAAAAAGTTTTTCCTTTTCATTTACCGTTCATCCCATTTCTTGTCATAAAGCTGTCTTCGTTTATCGTTTACTTAAATGTAATATTAAAAATTAAATATCGCGAAAATCTGAACGATTAAATATCGCTAGCGAAGAAAAGATACGCGATCGCGAGCGAGAACGTGCGAGAGAAAGAGACCGCGCGAACGAGAAGACTCGCGCAAACGGGGGGGGGGGGG